GAAATGAACCCCCTCCGAAATGCACCTTATGCAATAACTTAATGTCAATGAGACACATTCTTTTTGAATGCTTACCCGTTGCCTTCCATATGTCTAGATTCTTTAGAGACTTTTTAAAGAAACTTTTTTAATTCAATCAAATATATTGCTATTGCTTTGATTTTTTTCAGCTAACATCTTATTTCCATTTACACCTCAATTTTCGTTTTCAAAATGACTTAAATTTTATTTCTGATTGTAAATCTGTATTAAATATCTTTCGTTTCTTTTAAATGCAGTCGTATTACATTGAATAAAAGACCACTCTCGCTTTACATTCGATCAATTTAATCCTTTTTTACCATACTCGGCGCTTATATCAGCGCAACCTCATTCTTGCGACAAAACATATTGCTTCCCGTAGAAGACAGATGGAGGCAGGCTTTTGCAACGCGCTCAGAGGAGGTTTTTAATGAGACGCCAAGCGGTCTGTGGAGGCACGGCCCGTCCGAAGGCCAGGAAGTTGCCAAAGATCGTTGAAATGTTTCGCGAGGTGGACGTTCTTTGGCGGAAAGTTTTACGAAAGCGGCAGTAGTGTTGGCAAAGAACAGAGATTCATATGAATTCTACCCAGAGTCAGTTATGTAATTAAATATAAACCGTTGTGGACCTGGTTTTTACACAAAAGTTATAGTTTTTAATAGCTTGTGTGGTAACTCGGGGAAAATAGGATTGTTTTTAGGGTTCCGTACCGGGAACCCCATTACTAAGGCTTCGCTGTCCGTCCGTCCATCAGTCACAAAGGTCTATCTTATGAACCGTTATAGCTAGACAGTTAAAATTTTTACAGATAATGTATCTATGTTCCGCTATAAGAACAAATACTAAAAACAGAATTAAATAAATGTTTATAAATAAAAAAGTACTTTCACTAAACATTATCTTTTAAGTAAGAATTTTACATAGAATCTTTCAAATCCTCGGTGGCTGCGTGGTTAAAGCGTTAGGGTTAGGACTTTACGCTGCTATGACACAAATTACCTATAACAGATGCGAAAGAACACCGAATTACGCGTTCAGGTTTCTGTGACCTTCAGAAAGAGTTCATAGACAATCTGTATCAATGTATAGTTTGGGTTATTATTTGTTTGGGTGAAAATAATCTGCACCAATATGTTATCGAGGCATACAAAAAGGTCCACAGACTTCGAGACATACGAAAAATCACGTCCATTTAGCGTGTGTCGCAATTTTCACACCTTAAAAAATTAGTTTTTTATAGCTATAGCAACTGCAGCGACTATGAAAAGAGCTGTGTGATTTTCATAGAAAATAAGGGCACCTGTAATTCGTTTGAGAATGTTATAATCGGTTTCAAATCTCTTGGATTTCTATTAATATTAAATACATTTTATTAAAAATTGAACTAAAATTGTTAGTATCATTAAAAACAATTCAAATTCAAAAATTGTATCAGTCAAATTCCCTCATTTAAGGTGAATATTAAAGTAAATATAAATACAGCTCATTCTAAGCTCTACTTATCTTTAAGAAAAATTTAAATCATTGTTGCAATTGGGCCTTAATGCCATTTCGAATGAACAATAGTATTAATAATGTACATTATAATAATAATACATTTTATATCATAGTGTGTATTAAAACTACTAAAACACTTTTAAATTGGTATTATATTAACAACTTTTGTTTTTTAATTCAAAAAAAATTACCAATTTTCTCAATCAAAATATTTGTGGTCCTGAAAAGGACCTTCGTTTTCCCATGTTCGTCAAGGTAGGTAATGGGTAAACGGTAAAAAAACAGGATAATGAAATTTAAAAAATTACAAAAATTGTTCAAAAGTGCCTCCCTCTTGCATTAAACCAAACGATCATAAAATCCCCTCCTCACATTGGATAACATTGGGTGACAGTGTCAAAGGCATTAAATATTTTCTGCCTTAACTGCTCCAAATTTTGAATTTCTTCATGGCCGTAAATTTTAGATTTTATGTACCCCCATAAAAAGAAATCATTCACCGAGAAGTCAGGTGAAATTAAACGTCAGTCTAAACAAAACTAACATTTTTGAAAACATGTCAAAATTTGGACACATGCTAAATGGACTTCATTTTCCTATGTTTCGAAGTCTGTGGACTTTTCTGTATAATCTCACAGTAATTTAATAGATTGCTCGTCATATTATATCATCTCGTAGGAGATTAGGAAAAAAAGATATTTATAGTATAAAAAATTAATTTATTTAACAAAATTTAATTAAAGATGTGACAAAATAGTTACATTTCTATTGGTTCTATCGGACTTTTTTCAACTATATAAATCTTTATTTTTTTGTAAACTTTAATGCATAAAATATTTTCAATCTAATAAATAATTTAATGATGTAAATAAGAGGAAATTTCTCACATGGGTGGTCAAATTCTATAGTTTTCATTATATCAGACAGCCTTTGAATGTTTTCTTCAGTGCAAAACTCAAACAAAATTTAATATAAATAATTTTTCCAGCCTGTAAAAAAAATGAAAAATTTTTCCATTTTCATGGTCAAAGGCTTTTAAATGGGTAAATAATTTCGAGTTATCCAGAGATTCGGATTCTTTTGCAAATTTTAGACAAATATCACATTGATGTATTTGAAGACTCTTTTTAATGATGTAGTCAAACATAATTAAAGGCATTTTGAGTTGAAAACATTTCTCAGAGGCTGTTTGATATAATGAAAACTATAAAATTTGACCACCATGTGAGAAATTTCCTCTTATTTACATCATTAAATGATTTATTAGATTGAAAATATTTGATGTATTAAAGTTTACAAATAAAGATTTATATAGTCGAAAAAAGTCCGATAGAACCAATAGAAAGGTAACTATTTTGTCACATTTTTAATTAAATTTTGTTAAATAAATTAATTTTTTATACTATAAATATTTTTTTTTTCCTTATAAATAAACACATTTGCATCCCATTTTAAATAAGATATACAAATTACCAATTATTACCCTTAGAAATAACAGTTCAAAAGTTCAACAAAAATCCTACACGCGTTTTTAAAAAGAAACATATAACCACGCACTATGTCATTCCAGCAAGCGAATACGACACAGTATAGGTTTCCGGACTAAACGACTGGTGTATTTACACCACTCAATAGGCGTGTCGGGTTTGCCGAGCGGTTTCCGATGCAGTCGCTTTCTTTCGCATCTGTTATAGGTAATTTGTAGCTATGACTTTGGAGCCGTAGTAAGGCAGGTTCGAATCCTAGTCAAGGCGACTTTTTTTAATCGTTTTTTTTTTAATTTTTACATATTTTTACATATTTATTTTTTCGCATTCAAAATTCCGACTCGCACTTGACCGATTTTTTTAATTGTAGGCGACCTATTCAATAAATTAAATACTATTTTTTTATTTTCTTGAAGGTATTTCTTCTGATTTACAATTTAATACATACCCAGTGAGCATTTTATTCCTTTATCCCCTAGGTGACGTCGTTGTTACGTTACCAGGCCCAGATAAACAAGAATAATAGGTAATCGTATTCCAATAATTAAAGATACGACTTAAGAATATCTACTAGATACAGGTAGATCATTGAAATTAATGATAGGTGTGACTGTCAAAATCATTAGTAAAATTGTTAGAAATATATATATATATATATATATATATATATATATATATATATATATATATATATATATATATATATATATATATATATATATATATATATATATATATATATATATATATATATATATATATATATATATATATATATATATATATATATATATATAATATATATAACAATTTTACTAATAATTACTAATGATTACTAACTTTCTATTAATTCTAAACAAAAAACAAAAATAATATATCAGATTCCAATTAATGTTAGATATAGCAGAAAAAAAGAGTATTCATTTGAACATGTGTAGTTTCTTCTATATATAGATAAAAAATGTAATAAGACAGATTTTATTACTTTCTTTCTACATTCTTACAATTGCTACAGACATTATAGAATTAATCATATGTAAGAATTTTAATGGTTTAAAATTATCGTACAAAAAAGGCTAATTTTATTTATTCAATAATTACAGAAAGATGTAAAAAGATTGCTAAGATTCCTTAATTAAAAAAAAATATTACTTATTTAAATATTTGACATTAATTACATATGAAACAGTTAATAATTTCTGAAACATCCAAATATTTTATACTCAGGAGTACTAACAATTTGAAATATTACTATCAATTTAAATAACGAACGATTTTAATAGACTAACAATAACATAATTTATGACTGTGTAATACTGTTCCAAATCGTTGACAGTTCATCGACTCTGTAATAACAAAGTGCAAACATTTATTAGAATATATTGACATAATATGTAGATACCAATAACAGTCAGTACCTAATCATAATATGTTGTATTAATCAAATAGAACGCTGAAGAACTTTTGAGTAAGAAATGTTGATACTAAAATTTACATTTTTATTAAATTCATATTCATGAATGTAATTTTTAATATTTTGCATGCAGAAAGCCAAAAAGTACAACAATTATGTTTGAGTTAGGGATGGGCATTACGATTCTTTTTAACCAAAAGCACACAAAAAGTGTATTAATAACTCATAATCCTTTCGTATAAAATATCTAGTTTTTTAAAGATTTATTAAAAAAATATAAATTGGATAATAAATCATTAAGGTTACGCGGTTGCCACACAATATGATATTCACAGTAGTGATATTATTAAGTAGTAATATCAACAAAATCTATAATGTATTACAAATATCAAGTATGTTATTATTAATATTAATTACAATTATCTACTGAAGCATAAAGAAGTGTAGAATGTAATTTGAATAAAATTAAACAACTCTTAACTATTACGTGATTTTTGCCGTTCATATATAGCATATTTATTTATTGTGTGTAACTAAATATTATAAAGTTATTAATTATTTTCGTTTTTTTTTAATTTCAGGGGATTCAGCGTTAGCGTATGTGAAAGGCATCACATTTTCAAGCCAGTTTCAGTTCAAGCCATGTGGTAAGTAATTATAATTAAAGCCAAAAAAGAAACATAATTATTGCCGTAATATCTAGATCACTGAACTTATTTTCCGTGCATCGGAACGAACGATGCGTTGGTGAAGTAATAACAAACCGAACTCTGTACAGGGTGTCACTCGTTTAAAAAAACATACACATACCGAGTGACAAGTATTTAAGAAAATATATTTTTATAAGTAGGTAGTGCCTGTAAAGGCACTAAAACAGTAATGTTTTAACGTTAATACGTGATTATGTTCTCATTAACGCGATTATTATTCATACTGTGTTGCATACAAGTATCGAAAAATACATATAATCAATAAATTAATTTTCGAAATTGATGACTTCCTTGTTTTGAGAATATATGTCTTCTGCCACAATTTTGCTTGGGGAACGAAAAGAAGTCTCTAGGAACTAAATCCGCTAAATACGATGGGTGGTCTAGCAGTTCAAAGAGTAACTCGTAAATTTCCGCCAAGTCAACCACAAAGAAGTTAGATATGGCGCATTGTCTTGGTAAAATAAAATGTTCTGCAGATGTTTTATAAAAAATAAAATGTTTTGCTGCGATTTCTAGTTTCATTTTGTCAAGTCATGATGCATAATATTGTCATGGTATGGTTTTCTTTTTCTGAAGAATAACATTGTGATTACTCTATGTTAGGGTGGTCGTTCAAAATTATTTTTTTTGGCGCCCCAAAAATCCTTTCTTTTGACGAAAAACTACGGGGATTTTTTTGTTGTTATCATAATTCTAAAACCACAAAGGAACTGCTAATGATCAGTAGAAGTAAAGTGGCGTATTATTGGTCTCTTGACTGGACATACATATGTTTATGGTTGTCTACTACCTGAACATGCTCAACCTGTAGACTCTGCGATAAAGATCCTGAAACAGCAGAACATATACCATTGTCACTGCGAGACTCTGGCTCATAAGCGACACCCTCTATTTGGGAAAGTAAGGCTAGAACTGGAGGAACTATGGGCCGATTCTGCACAACTAAGACCTCCACAAGGTGGTGCAGGGTACAAGGATCGGAGACATTAAAAGGGTGCAGACATTAAAAAAAAGGCCACTAATAAACACTATAGGCCTTAAGAGGTCGCGGTGTTTCCTGCATAGAACAGCCCTTTAATGAAGAGGAAAAAAGATTTCTAAGAGAAAGATCGTCGCAACTTGGGATTTTTTATGTCGATTTTGAGTGTCGAAGATGTTTAGAATCACGGCTAAGTCGAGTCTCAAAACTCGACTGCAGTCACGAGATGCAAAAGGCCGACAAAAATAACAGGCTTACTAGGGCCCATATTTATAGTCGCGTCTCGAAACTGGGTCTCCGAAAAGACCGACAAAAATAACAGGTTTACTAGGCGCTACTTACTATACGGGTGACGGAACATAAGCCTGTTATTTCTGTCGGTCTTTTGCATCTCGTGACTGGAGTCCCGTTTTGAGACTCGACTTTTGAGACTGAATACGGGCTAAGGCCGGATTCTCACCAGATCGGACCGACCCCAATCGTCCAGATTTCGATCGCGCGACGAAAATCTTGCACCTAATCGCAAATAGGTACCACTGACAAGATTTCAGTCGTGACCGATTTTAATCGGGCGATATTAGTCGTACGCGACGCTGCTTGCAACGTCTTTGGTCGGCAGCAAAGAGGTTAGAAGAGAAAGAGGTAACAAATGCTCTATTTTATAATGCGCGAAGGCTGCCTGTTTTTCCGATCTGGGTTCCTTTGGTGGGGGTCACGCCAGGAGCGGATTTAGAAATTTTTAAGTGAATAATGATATACATCTAATATATAAAATTCTCGTGTCACAGTTTTTATTACCTTTGAACTTGTTGTCGTGGTATGCCAATTCACGAGCGCAAATGAAAGCACCTCTGTTTCGATTTTCCGCTATGTACGGATGTACCCAAAACCGGCGACGACGACGGCGAGGTTTTTTTTTAAGAGGTTTACGTTTTGCATACACGCATCTAGTAAACCTGTTATTTTTGTCGGTCTTTTCAGAGACTCAGTTTCAAGACGAGACTATAAATACGGGTCTAAGAGTTTCGGCTCCAAAAACCTTCAGAAAATTGTTCATACCTATAAGGAAACTACTTATTAATTTTGAATCGTGTTAACTCGAACATAGATTACAATCGAGATTAAAACTTTGACCGCTCTGTAGAATCTCTGTTTTCCCGGCCACAGCAATTACGTTTTCACAATCGGACATTGAAACGTCATTAGCGCGCATAAATTCATAGAGCGAGAGACAAAGACGGCGAAAAAATACGCCGCGGCCATATGTTCGAAACGATAAATTTTCTCGTAGAGAGTTACATAAGCGTCTAAATATTTACTTTGCTAATAGTTAGTTATGTGGATTTTCCGAGAAAAAAGAAACGACGGCCTGCCGGTTTTGGAGTTACTATGTTAAACATGTAAAGTGGACGCTTTGGGGACTTATTTTGAGTAGAGACGTACATTTTAAGAAAAAAATATCGATATGCGGGTTACTCACTCTGATTTTTAGGGTTCCGTACCCAAAGGGTAAAAACGGAAACCCTATTACTAAGACTTCGCTGTCCGTCCGTCCGTCCGTTTGTCACAGAGGTCTATCTTATGAACCGTTATAGCTAGACAGTTGAAATTTTTACAGATAATGTATCTATGTTGCTGCTATAAGAACAAATACTAAAAACAGAATTAAATAAATGTTTATAAATAAAAAAGTACTTTCACTAAACATTATCTTTTAAGTAAGAATTTTACATAGAATCTTTCAAGTCCTCGGTGGCCGCGTGGTTAAAGCGTTAGGATCGACTTTACGCTGCTATGAAGTTGGAGCCGTAGTAAGGCAGGTTCGAATCCTAGTCAAGGCAACTTTTTTTAATCGTTTTTTTTAATTTTTACATATTTTTACATACTTATTTTTACTTTTTACATATTTATTATTGATTAATACAATTTTTAGTAATGTGTTTCTTCATTTTTTTTAAATTACTTATACGCGCATTCAAAATTTCAGCCAAATCGGAAAAAAGTTTATAATAATATAGTGTCTAATGTTGTATAGATAATGAATGGTACGGAACCCTTGAGTCCGACTCGCACTTGACCAATTTTTTATGTTGCGGGCTATTTTCTTTTACTTTTAACTGGTCATATAATTATCGATCTATTAATGGATGTTATATTACTGGAATTTTTACAGCAATAATAATTCTCACAAACATGTTATTTCCTTTTCGAATATTATCTGTGTCATCATGTGGTGCCTTTTTCTTGAATTTTCGGAAATAAGTAATTCAAACTAATTACCTGATATATCATAATATATTTAAAGTTTGTCCAAAGAGTCAGGAATTATTTCGACAGATGCCATCCAAAATATAATAGAAAATTCAATTTACGTGTGCATTAAAATGACTTGTTACTGTCATGTTTCGTCGGACATACTATAATTGTAAACTATAATTAAAATTATTAATTTATTAAACATTGAATTTCAGCTTAAAAACTTTTATTCTTGTTTTACGCCAATATTTAGTTAATTTTTTATGATTCCTGTGCCATCTATCTCGAGATTTTAAAAAATTAAGAAAGATTTTACGAGAAAAAAAGAACAGCGTCAAGTACGGCCGGAGAATGACAATTGATGATAATGTTGGCAAGGTCAATCTCTAGACGACATTTGAATGTCAATTGATTGTCAATTTTTAAACAACCTCATTTAACCTATCAAAAAATTCGACTCCTATATTTATCAGAAACTTCGATATGAATGTCGATAGAGATGTCGATATTTCGATATATCGATATTTTTGGACGTCCCTTGCGTGTGATTAATTGATGTGTCTAATCAATTAAGATCGACAGATCGAGGAGAATAATGTGTTTTAAATATGTCAAGGTGTTGGTATTTTAACTCACACCTTAATGGTAATTAGTAATTAGTTTGTAGATACCTATTAAATATAATATTTCATCTTGATACAGTGGCGATTTTATCCAATAAATATATACCTTAAATAATAAGTTTTATGCAAAATTTTAATACGCTATTATACCGAATTAGTTTAGAAAAAGTAAAAGTTTCATCTGTTTATACAAAATAAAACTACTAATAATGAGGACAACAAACACTTACTATACTAGTGTAGTAGGTAGACCGTCTTCAAATCTAAAGAAACAGTCACAATTCCATAACTCGAAAACTGATGGTTTTCATAATTTGAAATCATCTATGATAACTTATAATAACTAAATTTCTTGGCCATATCCCTTTCTGTTCTAACTATATATTGATTTTGTGGCGAGTGACAAGGCGAGTAGGTACTATAATCTTCTCTAAAAATCTTTAAAGTAAATTTATTAAAGTATAATTTTATTTGACATGGATTACAAATAATATTAACTTGGAACGCTAAATCCGCAAGCTTTTTTGGGCATACTAAAGCGATATTTAGAAATTTAACATTGTTATTTATTTATTAATAAATTAATATATTTTTTTCGAGCAAAAATATACAACAATTATGTAATATAACATTAAATTATCAAATAGAAAAAGACCACCAGAAACATGCCTGAGATTGGGTACATGCTCCATTTGATCTCAACCGCTATTTTAACTGACCTGACAGCACTCGATATCCTTCCTCATTCCTTCTAAATTATTCAGTACTTCTATTCGGTCAATAGCCATTGGTCGTTAGTATTTTTCTATAAGAAATTTATCTTAAAACTTTGTACCTTATTTTGAGATTTTTATTAAAGCTGTTTAAGCAATTATTGTTGACTTAATGAAACAGTTTTGCGAGTACTAAAATCTGTAGAAAATAATACACAAAGAACTATGAATAATCACGTTGCGACTTACTAAATATTTTCGCCAATTCTTTGGCTAATGACGTAAACATTTTTTTATGTATATCAAAATTGCTTCGTAATTAATCCAATACTCGCAAAACTGAATCAGAAAATAATATCTATA